CGTGGTTCAAACTTTGTTGACCAAAAGCAACCTAGTTCCTGGCCTCTACAGCCGTATTACACCGGCAGTTGGATACTCTAGAAGTAGCATAAATACCAATTAATGATTCAGTTATATATATATATATCCAACGGTATTCATTCACGGATGATGTAAGCGACATGGAGTATTTGAAAATCAAATACTACCTCTAAAGTAACCCGGAAACTAAGGTATATCAGCCAATCAAAACTAAGGTGTCGCTTACAAACTAAGCAAATGTGGAGGGAAAACCTTAAGCCAATGATTTCTTTCCAACAATTAAGAGCACTAAAAACCAAAGAACAACTGCGGTCTAGTTAGTCCATTGTCCATGAAATGCAAAACATTTTTGTCGCTCCTGCCTTGATATGGTTTTTTCAGAATTTTCATCAAACTTTAATTCTTTCTGTGCTGCCACCTAATTTCTGGATCTAGATCTAGATCTAATTTGAATATACGGGCAACTTGTGTTCTGCTTTATCCATCAGGATCCAAAGAAGTGGTTGGTGTGTTGTTAAGTGGGTGTTTGCTGTCATGGCGGCCACTGGAGCCCATTGAAGAAAGCTAGGAAATCTATGGCAACCACAATGAAAATCCAAAAACCTTCGCATGAAAGGCAAATTAGGCGATCCTCCAGCCTGAATTGGTTGAACAATAGACAGGAGCTCGATCTTTGCATGCAGGACACTCAGGGGACCGGAAAGCTGGGAGGGGAAGAAAATGGGATGGTTTGACCAACAGAGGTTGATTGTGGCACGATTGAGTCGAGACCTCATTCAGACTTTGATCGCAGCTCTGGCAGTATTTTGGTTTAATAGACAACGAGGCTTGCTGCAGGAAATTATTCAACATTCTCTTCTTGTGGGGCCCGTGCCATGAAACTCTTCTGTTGTGACAATAGTGGACTCGGTAAAAAGTTGTTAGTTGGGACAAACTTTGATAGCAGGTACCGGCAGGCAAATTGTTGCTTTGTTTTTACTTGCTGGTGAATTGTTGCTAGAACTTTGGTGGATGGATATGTTTGTTGATTGAACTCTGCACCTTGTCGTTATCTTCCATGGATACGTCACTGAGTACCTCTTCCTCTCCTCCCTCTGGGAAATCATTGTGGTCTATCAACAATATTATTGAATTTAGTGGCAGTAGGTTGCAATAGAAAGCATACACCAATGGCTTATCATCAGGAGGTGATGAAATATGGCATGGGTCATTTCGGTTTCAAAGGTCACAAGGTACAAACACAACGGCAAACAAAGGGGAAGGTTCCTAATAAGAACGGTTCTCTGAAAGTAGGACATGGTTAAGTTGAATGTCAGAGGTCGCAAGTGACAAACAAAGTGACAAATCACAGAATGCTTCATAATCACATGGGCTCTATGAAAATATTGCCTTCATCAATTCTAGGGGAGGCGACCCAAGCCCCAAAAAGACACGCCCTGCTGATTTTGGGGCATGGTCCCTAAAATATCAACTGACTTTCTTTTCCGATGCCATTGGGTTGGCCAACTTATTGACAAGGCCAGTGTCCTCGTCGCCCATCGGATCGTCTTCCTCCTCAGAATCTTCGTAATCAGGATCAAATATCTTTTTGACCCCCTTGTGAATATCCACCTTATTAGTTTCATCGTTGGGAAATCCCTCGATCACCTTCAGTTTCATTTCTTGATGCAAGAGATTGGGGATTCCTCGAGAAATTCGTCAAAAAGCATCGTCCATGGGTGGTCAAATATGGAAGCGAACATCAGCCAAAACTGCACCAGAGGAGTCTCATTACGTAGGGCAGGATTTGTCCGATCGTCCCTCAAAAAATAAAGATCTTCTTGTGGCACTGTTGCATCGTTCACAAGGCCAACATCGAAAAAGGAAAACAGAATCTGTTGGGCGACTTGCAAGGCAATTGCTCTTACCCCCATGTGTATTCCGTATTCTTGTCCACACTGCCCACGGCATCATCATCAAAAAGCAAGATCAGGAATTTCAACACTCGCCGCCAATCGTTCGCGTATTGAGCAAATAGCATGTTGACCCTGACTTCAACTGAATAGGTAGCGTAGAGATCTTTAAACGGGCTGTCAAACCGTGGGAGCGCTTGGGTCCACCGATTGTTATGATTTTCCATCCATTGATTGAAAATGGAGTTGCCAAACAAAATCTTAGTGGAATTATAATCGTAGCCGATAGCAACCAAGTCATGAGTAGAGAGACCGAAATCAATCAGTGGAGGAAAGGATGCTATCAACTCTTGAATCTCCGAATCATTGGTACCACTGGGATCCCTGTCCTTAGGTTGACGTAAATCAACTGCAGATGCGTTTTCCAATCTTTTCTTTCCGCTCTTTTTGGCGACAGAAACCGATTTGGATGTGGACCCGCCCGCCTTGTTGACAGTCGTTAAAACAACCTTCAATGATGTATACTTCCCCATTGTAAAACAGTGAAATGCCGTTGAATTGATTAAAACTTCAGCAATTTCTACGTAGACTCCTCTCTTGCATCCGCTTGATTGGCAGACGATCGCTGACAACCAGTGAAGATGACAGGACGACATGAAGATTCCCGAATTGAACGGCCTGCGCGAGATCCGACAGTATTGGTACTGGATCTACTGGCGCTACGGCAGAGTCTTCTCGCGAACTTGGTGAAAAAAAGGGACGAAACATCATTATCTTTTTTACCCGAGTGGTGCTCAAATAAACTACAGCGACGACACAAGGACAAGTGCACTGATCATCGGTTTCAGGCTTCAAATAGTACATCTGAAGTTACCGTGATTACCCACTTGGATATCATTGAGTTCTTGCATTCTGTTCCTAACCTCCGGTCATGACTGACTACTTTGCAAAGATGAAGGCTGCCAAGCAGTCGCCTGTTTGCGTGGTGACTGTGGCGGCGGATGGACTGTCTGTGAACGCTAGGGCATCGCTCGGGGAGGATTACGAAGGTACGAGACAATCGGTGTTCTCTGATTTAAATGTGGTTGGTGGTGTGGGAGTTGGTGGTGCGGGATCGGCGCTAAACGTTGGTGGCCGGACGAAGACATCAGTGGGAAAGCCGTCGGACAAGAAAACGTTGTTTCACTTGAAGGATGCGCCAGGCGCGACCATCTGTTGCGTGTCGGTGTCATTCTCATCTGGTGGTCAGAAGGCATGTGGAGAAAATAAAGACCCGGCCACAAATTGTGAGATCGCGAGTCACCGGTCTCTAAAGCCAATTGACAAACTACAGTTTCCGGCGTTGTATTGCCGATGCAAAAAGCTAGGGAGAGGAGGAGAAACGTTTTTCTGGGACTCTCTTTCGTACGTGACGTTCAGTGAGCTGCCGCCAGACAATACGGCACCTTGGCTCACAGCCAAGGAAACCAAGGCAGATTGGACAAGTAAGATCATTGACTTGAGGTCCTCGAACGCTACCAAGGCTGACTCTATCGAGGGATGGAGGAAGCTCAAAGTGGAAGAGGACGACAATTCGATCTTGAGAAACTCGTTCACTCCGGTAAAAAGGGAGAAGTCGGTGACTGGAAGCGAATCCTCCTACAAATTCGTCGGAGAAAAAGGAGTCAAACTTGCGGCTCCGGACTTTTCAGAAGAAACTCCGACAATGTCTGCACTTAAGAAGAATGACACTTCCATGGCGTCGGACAATGGTTTGTACAGGTCAGCCTTGCTCGAGATCAAGTCGGACCTTGACGAATTGAACAAGTTCGTCAACTCCAGCGATACCAGGACTCTGAACCGGCTCACCGGCACAATCTTGAAGGTAAATGCTTTGACTCTGGCTGCAAACACGTTCGGCCGGCGGATTGGTGAAGGTTCTGAGTTTGAAAACATTGCGGGGTATTCTACTATGTACGATGGTTTGCTGGGACTTTATCGGGACCATAAATCAAGAGTTGAAGAAAGGACGGCCAATTTCCAGGCGTCAATAGATCTGGTGGAACACGGGAGTCAACATGCTTTGGCGGTTGTGGATACAAAGGTAGATATTATGGGGACTGCAGTGCAAGGTAACACGGCGGGTAACTTGGAAACGAGGAACACTCTCGAGGTATCTATGGGTTCCCTCTGCAATGACATTCTTCCGGCAATAGTAGGAATGTAGCAAGAGTTTTACGAAGATCCCAGTAGGTCTCTTGCCCAGAGAGTGAAGACTTTGGAAAACGGCAGCAATAAACCTGGGTCGGTCCAGCGCCCTTCGAACGGAATCAATATGTTGAGCTCTCTCTCCAACACTGGATCAGTGGATCGACAAGGCGTTTCGATTGGAGGCTCCCAGGCACAGTTTGAAGTCATGGCCGCTAGACTTGACAAACTGGAAAAGGAGAACGCATCCTTGAAGGAAAAGGTGGGAAAGATGGAAGTGAAATTCCAAAGCGAGCCCAAGAAGTTCAACGCTCCCTCCATGATGGCACTGGTACAGCAACTCCAAATGAGAATGGCCAGCGTGGAAATTAAAGACCTGGAGCAGATCACTGTGGGAGGCCACGCGTTTGGTGGCGTTCAAGATTGCGTGGTCTTCTTGGAGACTAAGATGGTATTCACTGGAGGTTTCTTTGGCCACGACGTGGTCTCAATGATGAACCCGGTTGGGAACGAAAGTAAAAGTTCGGCGCATGATGACATTCTGGTCAGAGACAAACTTGCCATCAAAGGAGGCTTTGACAACATAAGTGCAGCGAACCTGTACACGTCCATGCAGAAACCGTTACCCAGACCATTCAGTGGACCGGGGCAACACCCTCTACCAGCTCTCAGCACGTTCGATAAGTGGGACAAGCAAGACGGAATTCACGGGATCCGGTACACTATTGATCTTGGGGTGGAACAAGAGGTGAATCAATCTATAGGCTGGATTAGATCAGAGCTGATGCTTCATCCTGAAGCTATGATGGTTTTCACTACTCTGGTGTATGCTGCCCAATCTCACTGGAACAAAATTGCTACGTTTCTCACCGAGCTACGGCAGATATGCAAGCAACAAAGCGATGATGATGATCAAGCTTGGGTCTACCTGTGCGAAGTCGTCAAAGGTTTGTTCACCGAATTGCATCGGATTCAGAGTGCAGGAGCAGCAAGAAAGAATCTGGGCAAGCTCACAGTGGAAGATGCGGGTAGGATGATGTGGAGTGTGTTGCGGTGCCACCGCCTGATGGACGATTTCATCAGCCACAAGTTCCTGGGACACCCAAAGTTGTCTGGGTACTCGTTGAGTCATCTGTTCCGACACAGATTGACTCCAAAGAACCTAGAGCCAATTAAGGGTCAAGTGGAGCAGTTGAAGAGAGAGCTAGCTGCGGTGAATGTCAAGTTGACTAAGAAAAAGGACAAGGGTACTTGAGAGGACAAAGAGGGACTTTTGACGGTGCGTCACGAGCCAGAGAGGCAGGATGTTGAGTTGTCGGGGGCAATCCCTTCATTGCGACCATCGGGGACCCGCCCGACGGTCGGCTTGATAGTGCGTGGAATCGGGGAATGGTCGTGGGTCGTTCGGAGTCTAGGAATGGTGGTTAGTTGGGTGTGGGCGCCCAAGGAGGAGCTTCTCCCAACTTGGCTTAAGGTAGAACTACCGGGGGCTGTTATGACTCTTAATCGGGAAAGTTTAACTGCCGTGAATGTAATCCTTTGTGAACATAAACCTCCAAGGTGGCTAGCTGGCTGGAAGTTAACGAATCTGGTGGTGACCTCTGTGAATGGCGAGTTTCTGAAATCTAAATGGTCTCGTACAATGAAGATGACCCACCATGAATTGGGGGGACTAACTACGGGATCAGTATATTTGCGAGCTCACAGCTCTATTGATCGTCGATGGGTGGATCCAATCGCGGCGCGGGTGTTGCCTACCACAGTATACTCGGTTGCCAGTGATACCGTAGACATGGGTAGGAAAGTTGGTTGTCCTGATTCGGAAGTTCTCATTGGACCTCCTCAAGTATTGCTGCTGGGGTCCAATACGTTCCACGGCGGGGGTCTGCATCCCTTGGACTACTTGTCAGGGAAGAAACCTTACTTTCTTCTGAGGTCGGTGTTAGTAAATGGCTGGGTGAGGAGGAGGCTGACAACGGTGGAAGAGTGGACTGTGAAGGATGTGCCGGTGAGGATTGCAAAGCTGGTCCAAGATGCCGGAGAAGATGTGGACGACATGTGGAGAAGACTAAAACCTGGTCGCTGTCTGGAACATGGTTTGCGTCAGTTGTTTTCTGGAATTGGAGTCATTGATATGGACAACCGAGTATCAAAGCGGCTCCTTGCGTTTGGGCAGGAGGAAAGTGAACCGATGGTCCAAAGTCGCTTGAAGCAAGAAATTGGCGAGGTGGCTACGTGCTTGAATGAAATGTCCTTGCAGAAGGACTCGAAAAAGAGTAAGCCATGTCAAGTGTCCAGTGAGGACACAACCACAGTTTCAAGAGGGAGTTTGGAAGGGCCAGAGGACTGGGACTCTGATGAGGAGGTGGATGTGAAGGCCACAAAAAGCGACGATGCTAAGGTGGAGGTTGGGAAATGGAATAAGGAGGTGATTAGAACCCTGAGCTCGGCTTCTCACTGGGCGTCGCCTCAACCGGACCTGGCAGTCGGCCGAAGGAGGACGGAAGAGCAGGCGTTGGATGCGTTTAGAAATTGGATGCTAAAGTGGTACAAACGTCGGTCCACGAGGAGGTATTCCGAGTGGAAGTTTGGGAAGTCGCGCTGGAAATTTGGTGAAACATCAGTGCAGTGGAACGAACGGCCAAAGGCTGATGTGACTTTGGATCGTGACGATCAAATAAACGGTTATGTATGGACGGATAATGGTCGGAGTTGCTATGACAAGTGGTGGAGGTCAAGGTACGAGGATGATCGGGAGGAAGCTGAGGCAGCCTGGGACTCCCTGGGCAGGTTGGCAAACACCACCTGGTGGGAGTGGAAGGACGGGTCAAGGTGCCTCCACTGGAAGTGGCCATGCTTCTATCAGAGCACCATCAGAGATGGGATTGAAGGGTGGTTCAAGTACACCCCCGGAGCCTGGACAAAACCTCAACTAGCAGGGAAGAGTGCGGAGTCCCATGGACTAATGAAGGCCAAGCTTCAGCTAGTAGGAGACAAACGGTACATTACGAAAGGATACATAAAGTCTTTGACATCCTTCTTTGGTGTAGAGAAAGGTTTACATGATATTCGAATGGTATATGATGGCACCAAGTCTGGATTGAACGATGCTCTCTGGGTGCCAAGTTTTTGGTTACCAACCATCGATACGATGCTTCGGGCAGTCACGTACGACACGGTGATGAACGATTTTGACATTGGAGATTGTTTTCTCAACTTTGTGTTGCATGAGACGCTTCAGGCGCCATGCGGAGTGGACCTCACCAGATACTTTGGTGACGGAGAGCTTCTCTGGGAGCGGTGGGTTTGGGCCGCAATGGGTTTGAAGAGCTCGCCTTATCAGGCTGTACAAGCCATCATGGTAGCAAAAGAGATCGCTTTGGGTGACCGAAAGGATCCCACAAATGCGTTCAGGTGGGACGAAGTCAAGATGAATCTCCCGGGGTCTAGCACCTACGACCCAGGTCTGCCTTGAGTGTTCAAAATCCGCTGGTCAGACGGGAAGATTGCGGCGGATCTTTTCATCTATGTGGATGGCGGACGAGTTACGGCACCAATCAAACTTGAGTGTAAGCGGGCCACCCGGCAGGCGGCGAGTCGATTGAATGGACTAGGTCTACAAGAAGCTGCCAGAAAGCGAAGGTGGGGGTCTCGGAATCCTGGGGCTTGGGCTGGGTCATTGGTGAAAACGACCCATAATTCGGTAAACGTGTTTGTATCACAGGAAAAGTGGGACAAGACTAAGGCGCAAGTATGGTGGAAGAGTTGGACACCTCGGTTTCAGGAACTTTGAAATACAAACCGCTTGAGCGGAAGCGCGGGTTTCTGATTTATGTTATGAGAACTTACCCCATGATGGTCCCTTACTTGAAGGGAATCCACTTAACTCTGGATGGGTGGAGGCCAGGGCGAGACGAGGAAGGATGGAAGTTGATGGGCTACAGAGGAGCTACCCCGGCTCCGACTTACAAAGACACCCCAGAATATGTTAAAGCCGTACCCCGACTTAAGGATGACTTAGCTGCGTTGACGTTGCTCACCGCATCAGAACCTCCCCTCATTCGGAGGGTGCGGAGCAATTGGGTGGTGACGGTGTACTATGGATTTGGAGATGCGTCAGCAATTGGCTTCTGCAGCACCTTTCAAAAGTTTTCGAAACAAAGTGATACGTTTACTGCAGGGGACAAGATTCATTATCAATATGGTCATTGGTGCTCTGCCAACAGTGAGGAGTCGTCTAACTATAGGGAACTGTTGAATTTGGTGGAGGCGCTGGAAATGCGAGTGAGAAGCAGGGAGTTGTATGGGGTGGAAATTTTTCTGTTCACTGACAACTCGACCGCTGAAAGTGTGTTCAACAATGGCAACTCATCTTCGAAGTGACTCTTCAATCTTATTCTCAGACTACGAAGGGTGCAGCTAGACACAAGCATCCATTGTCGTGCCACATAGTGGTCATCCCTAGATTAATGACAGGCAAATGGAGACGAACCCTCACAAGACAGACTGATTTCAACACCACCATCCCTTTGGGCTCCAGTATCTGGGGCCACCAGGAGTTTGAACCACTAACCATGTTCGTCTATCTTCCTCTCATCCCTCACAGACCATGGAGTCTTCGGGGAACCGATTTTTTGGCATCTCTGGATAGGGAATTGCGCACAGTGCGGGAAAATGGTGACCAACGGAGAGGGGAACTTCTGCGGGAACTTTTGTTTCGCACGTGGAAGTTTTCCAGCCTGCCGGAAGGTGTGGTGTCCAACATGCTACTCCGTCCCAGCTGCAACACAGGGAGGTCCTGCTGAACACCGCCTGTAGTCGTACCTTTCCCCCACGACTGGGTCAATCATGAAACTGGTATAACGGTTTTTCCGCCAGCGTAGCATTTTCCGAGCATGCAAATACGGAATCTATTTATTCAGCAGTACTGCTGAATTCCCTTCTCAACTGCTGAATTTTTCAGCAGTACTGCTGAATAAATAGATTCCGTTTTTCAGATTCCGCCACCACGCAAAACAATAAAACTGATAGTCGTCTCAAGACAAAAATGATTTACAGTGTTACTATTAATATTTTATTGTAGATTAGCAATCATAAAACCAGTCCTTTAGGGATACGAAATCAATGACAGGATCGTAAAAGTTATTTTCATCATCCTTGTATCGCTTTCCTTGTTGCTTTGCAAGTCTCTTCTCCTTTTTCTTCTTCTTTACCAACATATATGCGGAATCCTTGTTTCGCCTAGTCTCCTGATAGATGTGGCCCCGAAAAGTTTTCAAGTCAAACGCTTTGTACTCATCGCGTTGTTGGAGGAGCATATTGGGCTTCATGTCCTTGTGCTTGCCATTTTCGACATCAACTCTAAGGAAAGCTTCTGCTGGTGACCCATGCCATTCGCCGTCCATGGCTAGATTATGATTGGTCATATCGTGCAGATACCCAGCATAATCTTCGTTGGCTCTTGCTGGACATCTTTGAACATCTGTTTCACAGTCTTTGCATCGGCATAGAAATCGTCCGTGAAGAAGCTTTGTCACCTAGTCTTGGATAATCTATCGATTTGTTCGTTGCTCCAGCTGCTTCCTAGAACCGTTCCTAGTTCCAGGAACTCATCTTCAGAGAAGCGGATCCTCATGGTCGGTTGATGAGCTGCTCTGGCAGGTTGTGTTGCTTGTCGGAGGTGTTGTCAAGAAGGTGTTGATGGCGGTTTATATCTGACGATTGATTGGCGATTAATATAACGGGAAGACAAAGGGAATTTGAGAATTCAGCAAACTGTTGAAAAATTCAGCAGTACTGCTGAATTATTCAGCAGTACTGGGATATTCCGCATTTTGGTGTGAATCTGAACTGGAATCGGGGCCTGACCGGCTTGCTCACTCCTTCTGCACGGGGATCTGTGATCCGACATCATCACTGCTCGTGGAATTCATTCTTGGTTGGTGATCGTCGCGTTTTGGTCGTAGTTCGTTAAATTACAGACAGTTCCCCTAATTGACCATTGTTTTTGTCCTCTGAGTCAAAAATTCTATGAATTTTTCACAGATGTTCCGAAATCTCTGTGAATGACCAACAGATGTTCCGAAATCTCTGTGAATTTTTCACAGGTTTTTTAAGGGTCTTCACAGATGTTCCGAAATTGCCGTGAAGTTTCAACAGAGGTTCAGCTGACATGCGTGCACGCATGCCCTTTCGTAAAAGCACCACACAACTTCCGTAGAGGAAAAAACGGTTAATGTTGTTCGCAAGCAATGCTTGGTCGTCTGGGTCAAAAATTCTGTGAATTTTTCACAGATGTTCCGAAACTTCTGTGAATTTTTCACAGGTTTTTTAAGGGTCTTCACAGATGTTCCGAAATGTCGAAATTGTGGCGAATGGTGGGTTCAGCCAGGAATATAACATTTATGGCTTCACTATGTAAAACTAGTCGTAGACTTTTTTCCACGGTCGTCTGAGTCAAAAAGTCTGTAAATTTTCTATCGTCTGGGATATTCCGCATTTTGGTGTGAATCTGAACTGGAATCGGGGCCTGACCGGCTTGCTCACTCCTTCTGCACGGGGATCTGTGATCCGACATCATCACTGCTCGTGGAATTCATTCTTGGTCGGTGATCGTCGCGTTTTGGTCGTAGTTCGTTAAATTTTCTGTGAATTTTTCACAGATGTTCCGAAATCTCTGTGAATGACCAACAGATGTTCCGAAATCTCTGTGAATTTTTCACAGGTTTTTTAAGGGTCTTCACAGATGTTCCGAAATTGCCGTGAAGTTTCAACAGAGGTTCAGCTGACATGCGTGCACGCATGCCCTTTCGTAAAAGCACCACACAACTTCCGTAGAGGAAAAAACGGTTAATGTTGTTCGCAAGCAATGCTTGGTCGTCTGGGTCAAAAATTCTGTGAATTTTTCACAGATGTTCCGAAACTTCTGTGAATTTTTCACAGGTTTTTTAAGGGTCTTCACAGATGTTCCGAAATGTCGAAATTGTGGCGAATGGTGGGTTCAGCCAGGAATATAACATTTATGGCTTCACTATGTAAAACTAGTCGTAGACTTTTTTCCACGGTCGTCTGAGTCAAAAAGTCTGTAAATTTTCTATCGTCTGGGATATTCCGCATTTTGGTGTGAATCTGAACTGGAATCGGGGCCTGACCGGCTTGCTCACTCCTTCTGCACGGGGATCTGTGATCCGACATCATCACTGCTCGTGGAATTCATTCTTGGTCGGTGATCGTCGCGTTTTGGTCGTAGTTCGTTAAATTTTCTGTGAATTTTTCACAGATGTTCCGAAATCTCTGTGAATGACCAACAGATGTTCCGAAATCTCTGTGAATTTTTCACAGGTTTTTTAAGGGTCTTCACAGATGTTCCGAAATTGCCGTGAAGTTTCAACAGAGGTTCAGCTGACATGCGTGCACGCATGCCCTTTCGTAAAAGCACCACACAACTTCCGTAGAGGAAAAAACGGTTAATGTTGTTCGCAAGCAATGCTTGGTCGTCTGGGTCAAAAATTCTGTGAATTTTTCACAGATGTTCCGAAACTTCTGTGAATTTTTCACAGGTTTTTTAAGGGTCTTCACAGATGTTCCGAAATGTCGAAATTGTGGCGAATGGTGGGTTCAGCCAGGAATATAACATTTATGGCTTCACTATGTAAAACTAGTCGTAGACTTTTTTCCACGGTCGTCTGAGTCAAAAAGTCTGTAAATTTTCTATCGTCTGGGATATTCCGCATTTTGGTGTGAATCTGAACTGGAATCGGGGCCTGACCGGCTTGCTCACTCCTTCTGCACGGGGATCTGTGATCCGACATCATCACTGCTCGTGGAATTCATTCTTGGTCGGTGATCGTCGCGTTTTGGTCGTAGTTCGTTAAATTTTCTGTGAATTTTTCACAGATGTTCCGAAATCTCTGTGAATGACCAACAGATGTTCCGAAATCTCTGTGAATTTTTCACAGGTTTTTTAAGGGTCTTCACAGATGTTCCGAAATTGCCGTGAAGTTTCAACAGAGGTTCAGCTGACATGCGTGCACGCATGCCCTTTCGTAAAAGCACCACACAACTTCCGTAGAGGAAAAAACGGTTAATGTTGTTCGCAAGCAATGCTTGGTCGTCTGGGTCAAAAATTCTGTGAATTTTTCACAGATGTTCCGAAACTTCTGTGAATTTTTCACAGGTTTTTTAAGGGTCTTCACAGATGTTCCGAAATGTCGAAATTGTGGCGAATGGTGGGTTCAGCCAGGAATATAACATTTATGGCTTCACTATGTAAAACTAGTCGTAGACTTTTTTCCACGGTCGTCTGAGTCAAAAAGTCTGTAAATTTTCTATCGTCTGGGATATTCCGCATTTTGGTGTGAATCTGAACTGGAATCGGGGCCTGACCGGCTTGCTCACTCCTTCTGCACGGGGATCTGTGATCCGACATCATCACTGCTCGTGGAATTCATTCTTGGTCGGTGATCGTCGCGTTTTGGTCGTAGTTCGTTAAATTTTCTGTGAATTTTTCACAGATGTTCCGAAATCTCTGTGAATGACCAACAGATGTTCCGAAATCTCTGTGAATTTTTCACAGGTTTTTTAAGGGTCTTCACAGATGTTCCGAAATTGCCGTGAAGTTTCAACAGAGGTTCAGCTGACATGCGTGCACGCATGCCCTTTCGTAAAAGCACCATACAATTTCGGTAGAGGAAAAAACGGTTAATGGTGTGCGCAAGCAATGCTTGGTCGTCTGGGTCAAAAATTCTGTGAATTTTTCACAGATGTTCCGAAATCTCTGTGAATTTTTCACAGATGTTCCGAAACTTCTGTGAAAAATTTACAGGTTTTTTTGGGGTCATTACAGATGTTCCGCAATTGCTGTAAAAATAAAACAAACTTTAAAATTTTATCTGGCGAATGAAGTTGAATACTTAACGGCATTGTGAACATTTATAAAATTCCTTGTCGTAGAAGTTTCTTTCTGGCAGGCAATAAGTGAAAGTCGATTTTTGAAGTTTCGTGCAGAAGAGGGTGAAAATGACCACATCGACTCTCCAAAAAAAAGAGAAAGCTGGCTTCACAGAAAACTGCGGGATATCCCTGCTGAAAAATTCAGCAGTACTGCTGAATTCCCTAGTCAACTGCTGAATTATTCAGCAGTACTGCTGAATAATTAGATTCCGTTTTGTCAGATTCCGTCGCTTTCAGTTGGCGCGCACGCATGTTAATAATTTAACGGTCATAATTCGTAATGCCTAGGGTACAGGTTTAGTGCTACGGACGCCGGAAGGACTATATCCAGCAGGACCTCCCTGTGTTGCTGGAAGTCCTTATCCCATAAGAACAGCCACGGATGAGGATGGTTTTGAGGTGGCGATGGATGGGGACGAGGAGAGATTTCGGTTGGCTCGGGCTGGCGATTTTCTCATGACCCCCTTTCAATGCGACATTTGTCATTTCAGAAACATGATGAAACAAAATCCGGACGTGGGCAATGAGAAGCATCTAGGGTTTTTACATGACATCCGACACGCAAATGTAAATGCGTGCTGGTCACGTGAGTCAAGTACTGTCAGGGCAAATTTGTCACAGGTCAGGAAGCTGGAGAAGGTTGGGACGGAGATGTTTGGTATACCGAGCGCAGTGATGGGACCATTCCCTCTAGAGGACACGTTCGGGATGGGACCTGCGGCCTGCCTGTTAAGAAGATCCTTGGACCCAGGTAGGAACGAGGCCACCATTCAGTTTGCTACGGCTCGGAGGTTCCGGTCGGCCTACTCAAATGCCTATCATGCCTCAAAGAGTGTTGGGCACATCAGTTCCATGGCTTATGAATCCAACAAGTTTTACACGGCCACGTGTCCCACCTATGGTTATTGGTTTGGCAGATTCATACTTGGATGTCACAAGAGAATGGGAGATAAGGTAGTGCAGGACTACGCACTATCAAGAAAAAGCTTTGTGGAGTTACTGAAACACCTAGAAGGGGATTGGAATGCAGCTATCGGAAACCATGTGGAGAGAGATGGGATCGTGGAGTTTGCTGGGGTCCTGATGATAGGTTTTCTGTTGGGGCTTCGTGGGGAAGAAATTGTGAAGACAGATATTTCTGGACTTCTAAAATTTATCGATGTCGGAGCACTGGACCCAGATCACCCCCATGTCATTATTCCCCTTATTGGAAGACTCAAGGGAGAAACTGGTGAGCGTTATCATATGTTGCCGATGGCAAGGGTGACCAAAAGTGGGATCACTGCGGGAAGGTGGATGGACAGATTGTGCCGCTCTTTGATAAGGCGCAATAGACGGAACGGGTTTGTGTTCCAGGGAAGAGACGGGAAGCAGCGAAAGATTCGGGATTACAAGGAGGAATTTTACGATAGATTGAGGCGAGCGAGAGCAGAAAAGTGGTTCCTTTTTGAGCCGGGAATTGATATCTCAGACGAGTACGGATTGAGGCGTTCGTTGCGCAGGGGTTCTAATACAGAGGCAAGGAATCTGAAAGTCAGTCAGCCAGTGATTGATATGAACAACAGATGGAGGAAATGGGAAGGATCGAAAGGTCGACGCCCGGCGATGGAGATGTCGGCGCATTACACGGAGATTAGAATGAGCCTTCCAATCCTTTGGGAGTACTCTTTCTCGTTCTGAACCCGCACAAGCTTTTCTCGTGGAGTTTGAAAGGTTCGCAGGCCGGAACAAAGAGTGTTTAGATCAGGGGGGGATTGGACGCCTAGAAAGACAAGATGGATTAGGAACCCATCAAGTCTACTGGCTGGTTTTGTATGATAACGTGTTGGACCTTTGGCGGAGGAGTTTTGGATGCGTATAAGAACGTGGAGATCTTCCAGTCTAAAGTGTCATTCAACAAAGCTTCTCTTCTGAACCCGATGCTCCTCCAAATATACATTACCAGTATGACAGAGCAAAATCTGGCTCAGTCTGGCTTTACCTGTGTCTTACAGTTAAAAGTTGCAGGAAAGGTGGCCGATTACCGGATGGACAAAGCATCAACCCCCCACACATTGGCACCTGAATGCTATTCCTATTCAGAGTGCCCTTAGGTCTATAGTTGTAATGGAGTAAGCTTGATCAAATGTCGTACCAACGTCTAACTGTTGTCTATGTGAATATGCCTAGTACTTAGGCTACGAATAACGTTTGCAAAGTTCCGATCGGTTCGGTGCTTTTCGTTTTTCGTTTTTCTTTTTCTATGACAAAAATTACGACAAAAATTACGACAAACTACGACAAAAATTACGACAAAGTTTTGTCGTTAATCAAACACCAAATGTTTTCGGAGAAATAAACTATAAATATTAGTTTTGGACCCTGAAATAGTTAGGATCCCCTTAACCGTTTTCTGATCAGAGGCTGATTCGAGGCTGATTTTTTAAAAGACGTAGGAAATATACTAGCTCTACGTAAAAAACAAATATTTGCCAGTATCGCCAAAATTACCCAATATTAGTTGATCGAGATCGCTGATATGAAGGCATTGTCGATAATCAGACAAAGGCCCATCACTAAATACAATAGATAAAGAAGCACTTTCCTAAGTGGAATTATTTTGTTGGACCACTACCACATCTAC